TCCGATATGTAGTGATGTCGGTTGTCGTCAGAGACGTGTGAGGCTCACAGGTTCGGCTTCTACACCCATTCCAGCACATAACTCTGTCCAGTGACTCAGATCTTCCTGTTGCCTCTCCCTCATTGATTGACTTGTGTGTTCCGGGAGTTTTTTGCAAAACACCGTGAGTGCATTGTTGCCACCTACTCTCTTGTTCGTTTGTGACTGTATACTGGCCTGTGACTGATATTTAGGTGGTGGTACTTTGACTACTGGTACCGAAACTTTGACCGCTGGTTTCCTTGTTGCTTTTGGAGAGGAAGTGATGCGCGCTACTTCTTGATTTGTTTTGTTAAAGATACTTCTCGGACGTTTTGACTGCCTTGGGTTTAGACTTTCTTGAGTAATCTGGGAACTGAGGGTCTTTATCTTCTCTTCGAGAGAACCAATTTGTACTTTTGAGTTGTCCTCAACGGCTGCTAATAGGTTTTCAAATCTGTGTGATATCCGTTATGCAGAACCAGAAATGGTCTGTCTGTGAGACTAACAGTTTTACCCGTTTTTCCGATAGCCTAGGACAAGAGGGATGAAACGACCGTATGGAGTTTGTGCATGCGATGCCGGTTTCGATTTTGTTTCAACACTTCAATTCACCGTATACTCTTGGTCCTGTTGAGGCCCCCGGAGGGGCGCTTGTTGACGTACTTCGGTGACCCATTTCCAATTGAATGTGAAGGGTAAGGTTGGCTGCAATTGACAAAGGTCAAGTGCGAGGAAAAGTGCACGTCCATACCAATCACACGTATGTGTTGATAATTCTCACTGACGCGTAGAACAAAGACACAGGTAAGCTTGCGAATATCGATCGACTGAACTAGTCTTAATGCGATAGACGCAGGTGTGAATGATGGCGCAAATGGCACAAAAACTGAATTGCACAAATATAAATCCGGCGAACTTGAAATTGGGCGTAGAAAGCTCATTTATTGACACTTCGAAGAAAAATGAACAACTTTTTACGCATGAGTATTAGCAAACTAATTACTACGAATCACGGAAAGGCACGGCGGAGTGTATGGTGTGGTTTATATCCGAGAAAGAAATATCGCTAGATAGATCTCACAGAGCAGAGTTGAACGAGCGTAAACTCGTCGATGTATAATGAGTTAAGGAAGAGTAAGTCCATTTAAACCGGGAGCACACTAATTATACGACCGAACACAGTGAATCAGTTGGATGACCATTGTGCGTTGAGAGGGATTTTCAAAAAACATTTGGAATACATGGGGTTGTCGGTGATGATCGTGAATGTTAGGTTTTCAAGGATATATCGGAGGTGGCAGATTCCTACGTAGATCGCAAGGAGGTCCCGGCCGAAGGGACTGTAGCTTAACTCGGCCAGTTGTTAGTTCTTGGAGAAAAACTATGGGTTGCCATTCCTGTCTCACTTGTTGTTGGAGGACGGCACCGACTGCGTGGTTTGACGCATCCGTGACGAGTGGTAGTTTGGTGGATATGTCCAGATGAGTTAATGTTGATACGTTGCTGATTGCTCGTTTCAGCGCTTCGAAGGCGTCTAGAGTGGCTTTTGTAAACACTAATGTTTTGGCTTTACCCTAAGTAGATCAATGAGTGGCTGCGAAGATAAAAGTTGACTAAACGGTCGGAACGTCTAAGCTGCTTTAACGTGGTGAGCCCCGGGTAGTCTTTTCCCATCTAAATATTGTCACTCAGTGGCTCGATACCAGTGGCTGTGGTGCGGTGACCGAGAAAATCAATTTTGGAGGCACCAAAACACATTTTTATGCGTTGATCTACACACTGTGCTATTCCAAACAATCAAAAAGTGCTCCAAGGTGTGCCAGATGGTCCTCACGCGTTGAGCTGGCCACTAGGTTATCGTCTAAGTAAACAAAAACAGATCTTAACTGTCGACAAACGTTGTCAAAGGAAAAGTTGGAAGGACTGTGTGACGTTGCTTAAACCAAATGGCATTCGAAGAAATTTGAAAAGACCAAACGGTGTGACAAAGTCTGTTTATGGGATATCGGCTCCTGCGACTGGTATATGGTTGAATGCGCGAACCAGATCGAGGCGGCTGAAGACGGTTACG